ATGTACCTACACAATTAAGGATGACTTGTAAAGGCTGTAGATAGACGTCGATAAGACAAAAAGGCCGTTTTATATAAGAGGATTTCAATAACTTTAAAGTGTAGTAGGTATCCTATAATTGATTTATACTGCAAATAATAATAATAGAGAGAACTTGTAATGTTATTATAAATTATAATACGTGTAAGGGTTTTACTGATGGTAATACAAACCTGAAATGGGATAATATAATAATTTACTATAATGAAACATTGAAACATATAGGCATATATAGCAGAGTGTTATTATAGTATGAGTTCATTATATGTTGTATATACGATTGTCTCTAACTGACTTATATCAGAGTGAGAGATATCTATTATCTACAGTATGGGGTGTATATAACATGGCCGCATGGGTGAGTGACTTACGGTATCCACTAACCAGTGTTTGCTTTGTTTAGTCGAACGTTTTAACACTCAACAGTCAACCGAGTAGGTCTAAGTGGTATAATGTCTGTCTTACGAGTCGTGTTCACTACATAGCTGCAACTGACGTTACAGTAAACATCGCAAAGGCAAAAAGCACGTTCCTACTTAAAATGACCTCGTTTAAGCTTTACAACAATAATTATGTATGAGCAATACGTATAACAAATAATTAAATTAAAAGCGTTTAAAAGAGTTTGAGGTTGAATTATAATATAATGTAGGTAATAAAAAATGTGTTGGAATATGTTCAAAGTTGTTTTATTTACATGTTTGAGAATAAAATATGGGTTTTACAATAAATTAATATATCAATTTCCGATACTGTTATAACCACATCGGCTTAAAATCTTCAGCTTATATGTAAGTACATCGATGTATCTATACCGTATACCTTGTATACATATTGTATATTATTAAATATACAAATGGTAAGAAATGAACGATAACCATAAATAATTATTGTCTCTTTTAAGACCTACCGCAGTTAATTTTAACATTGAGAAAGGTTATTTTCCAGCGCACATTATTGAGTTATCGTTTATTTTGTTAGAAAAATATTTTAGATTCGAAGCGACGAGTGTATTGATCTTACCATTTTTTTGATAAGGAAAGAAGTGTGGGTAAATAATAATCACCACTCTGCTGTCTGGTAGGTGTCGAATGTACCTCGTTATTAAGCATGTCACGTTTGTAATTTAGTTATAAGTAAATATCTAAGATATAATACAATTATTAAAGAAATAAAAAGTATATGGGTAAAAGTTTTTTAAGCATTAAGTATAGATATAAGTTTATCTGCAAATAGTAGGTACTTAGTAGTTAGTACCAAATAATTAACTTGTAGATTCTGAGCGGAGCAATAAATGTATTCATTTTACAATGATAAGTTTTTTTTAAAAATTTTGTGTCTGTGTACACATTACACATATTACAGGGGAAGAAATGTTTGGATTTTGATCTGTAGTCGGCATTAATGGGAGGTCAAAAAATGAAAATTCTCAGTAATTTTCAAAATAATCAAAAAAAAAAAAAAAAAAGTAAAAATAATAATATTGTGTCTTTAATAAATCTATAATAATATCATAATTGATGTATTAATTTATTTTTTATTTCATCCTGGTAAGTTATAGAAATTACTAATTAGCTTTAATACTATTGTACTTACCACTGTGTTAGAATTAGTCTATTGTTGGTAATTTTTTTAAACATTTAAGGAAACATAATCTGGTCATCTAAGGTTATTTTTAATAACACATTTGAAACACTGTTAATTAAGTATAAAATGATTATTATCATAAACTTAATTATAAACTAATTTGTAATATCACGTGATAAAAACTATCTCTATTTTATGGTGTTTGATATTTTTTTTAAATTTGTTCAGTTTAAATTCTTGTTTGCTTTAAATTATGAAATTATATCTAGTTGATAATCCTGCATATTATAAAAATAATATCGTTTCCCCCAAGAACTCGGTCAAATACGCCCTTGAATGACAAATCGTTATTGTATAATATTAAATATTAGTATTACCTATAAGGTATAATATAGTAGGTATTTAAATATTTATTGATGAGGTGTACTGTAATTTGTAAGATATTACCTATTAATATTACTAGCAAAAGAATCAGCTTTGTTTTTAAATATAGATTTATACCTTCAACCTACGTTCATATTTCCCAAGGGTCCCCTCACCGATAAACTTATACCTACTTTGACATGGCCAAATCTTTTAATATATTTTATTGAGATTTGGTACCTATGTAACTAAAAAAATACTCTTAACATTCTTCATGGGCCAATATTCTGAAGAGAAATAAATAAAATCGTATTCTTTAATACGTAAAATAAGAAACAAAATTTTACTTTGTAAACAAAATGTTAGTTGCATAATAGAACAATTCACAATAATTGTATGTTTAAACAACACTGCAGGTATAATAAGAATGCTTTTAACTCTATTAAAATGTTTAAATTGGTTGTATGCCGAAAGCATGTAAATATGCATTACAAATGAGCTTGAAATTGAAAAANGCACGTTTAATCTACGTTTATAATAAGGATAACTTTGGTGTAGGTATATACGTAGAAATTATTCGTATAATAATGGTATAATATACTTTGAAATAGATTGATTTTACGTTGACGATACGTATAAAACATATACGTACATATTTTTTAGTGATAAAATTGCGTTTATTCTACGTTGATCATTGGTTGGTCGAACTTACGTCGATATATAGGTAAGGATTTACGTATATTTTACCTCGATGGCACGTTTATACATATTCGTACATTTTTCGTGATACAAATACGTTTATTCTACGTTGATCGTACGTTCATCATTGGTGAACACAAGGCGAAGTATTAAACGGATTTTATATGAAAAATATACCGCGATTATACGTTGAATATTAGTGAAATAGTTCCCTTTTGACCTACAAATATCCTTATATTATTCGTAAAATAATCGAAATCTCTACGTATATTATACGTACTTAAGTGTCAGTTTATACGTTTAATATACGTAGAATATTCTTAGATTTGTCTACTGGGTAGTTGCTCGATGATCAACCGCACGTGGCTGCCAGCAAACTTATCGCATAACTTAGTAGTGTCGGCTTCTCGTCCTAATTGTCAAAAACGTTTAACTCTGTTCGCATCTTTTCGTATTCTATTTCATTTATGCTCTTGTCAGTGATGTATTTCATTGTAGTTTCGATGCCGACAGCGGTTTCGATTTTATGTGATTCAGCCATAATATGAATAATATTATTATTGCAGGTTTTAGGTGAGGGTGTGGGTAGCTGGAAAAATAAATTGCAAGTGAGCTGATTTTGAATTTTGTCCGCGGCCGTCGCCAATTATTTAAAACCAAACATTGTTTATTACTAGCTAGCGAGTTATCATGCGCCATTATTATCGGCGCCGTCATGTTATTAATCACACAGCATCAGCTGACTTTTTGAAAATGCATGTTGATTCACGGATAACATATTCCGTTCAAACACTTCGGATATTAATGAACATTACTCATTCAAAATTAACAACAATTTAAGTCATACTCAAGGCAGTTTTTGTTAGTTGTTACAGGCTTACAGCATGAAAGTAGTTTTTGTAATAAAAAATTAATCACGGCATATGAAAGCAAATTTTACTGATATTTTAATTTAAAATATAAATTGACCTACATAAATTAATAAAAATTATTCTATTAAATAAATACGTTGAATACGTCATAAAGCCGTATGATAAAAGATACGTGTAGTTTTTTAAATACCTATACATCTACTTTATTATATTTAATATTATGTGGGCAATAAATATTATTTTATATTTTTAAATCGACTGTTGTGGCGCTGCGTCGATCAAAGCACGGAGCTTGCGACGAAAAATATGATGCTGAATTGGTGGAGACCGGAGGAGGCGAGGCAACTATGCCGTCAAGATTTTACCACTGGGTGAAAAAGAGAAATCAATGGAGCACCACGTAAAGCATCGCTGACCTGATGCTCTGAGCAATTTTCATTTTTCGCCCTGGCGTCTCGTTGGCACCTTGTTCGGTGGCCAGCTCGTGGGGTCGCAAACCGTCGGACAGCTGGATTTAATAATAAATGATTGGTTGTATCAGACCCAGATATTTAATTTTTTTAGTATAACATTTCAAATGTATTTAAGTGATTAGTAAGTATGGTTAAAAAACGGGTTAGTGGATGTCGCTCTGCTGTACAGTAGGTGTTAAGAAGGTCGCTGTAATGGATAGCATTAAATTTGAATTCAATGATATAATATCATTGTATACGAAAAACGATTCTGAGCGGAGACGTTATGTCATCCATATGTTTATTTCAATTAAATTAAATTTAAATTCAAAAATTGTTTTTTATGATGAATGTAATTTTTAATTTTTCTTAATATTAATTATTTTCAAATTTCAAAATATTTTTTGAAATTTGAATTAAAAAAAAGAAGAAAAGTGGATTTTGTCTTGTGACTTCAAAATTTTTTAATATATGATTATATTATGTACAAGCAATGTTATGTTTTTTCGTTTTTATAAAAATATAAAATTTTAAGTAATAAATATTATTAACTAAAAATTTTTTTTGTCCTCCATATTATAATAAGATAATAATCAAAGAAAAATTATAGAAACCGCCCCTGATCATGTCAGTAAAAATGAAAAGTCTATCTATTGGAGGGCTGCAATATAATCTAAAAAAAAAATTGCATATAAAAAAAAAGTATTTATATATGTTATATAAAAAAAGGGTTGGCTTAGGTTAGGGTTAGTGCATGTCAGAACCAATCTAAGGTAACAGGTAATCATAGGTTACAAGTGGTTGTTAGTTTTACATTAATACATTATTAATAAAGGAAGAACACATTTTGGACTATCCTATAGGTATAATTTTGAATACTTATTGTACCTTTATTATGTTTTTGTATTTCATAAACTACACCTCTGTAGCGTCGAATACATTTAAAACTGAAACAAAATCAGACTCAGTATGCCAGCGGTGACACAACATGGCGCACACAGTAGCTGACTTATTTTTGCGAAATATGGGATGGAGTGAAAAACATGGTTATTACACGATGTGCATGGTATTTTTCACCTATAGCGAGTTGGCCTTAACTCTATTGTTCATCATTTCGACGTGTCTGTCGATCGTCTACTCGAGGGAAAATCTATCCATGCACCTTCACGGCCTCTTGTGGTTGTTAGTCGAAATCCACGTTTTTGCTGTGACGGCCAACAGGCTCTACCATAAGTCAAAGTTGCGCGACATGCACCAGAGATCACAGAAAGTGAGAATACCGGAAAACTATAGACGGACAATCGCAAACGTGCTCACATACCACATGTCTTTACCAAATGTGCTCGTGGCCATTCCCGCGTTGTACATGATTTTATTGGATGGGGTGCAGATGGGCGATCCGTTCACGTTCCCTTTCGTGGACGTGTTGCCCATAAAAACAACAAGCGTCACTGTTTACGTGTGCAAATATATTGTATACGCTATGCCCGTGTACATTGGACAGTTGGAAACTTGTTTCTTGAACGTGTCATTCATGTATTACACGGGCGTCGTGAAGAGACATTTTCAGATCCTCGAAGAACAGGTCGCAGAAGCGATGGTAAACAAGGATGAACAGAAATTAAAGATTGCGATCAAAAGCCACCAAGAAGTGTTGAAGTGAGTTGCATTACGTATAGTTTATAGCTTAATAGGTACCAAAATTTAGTTTTCATACATACAAAAAATAAATAAAATGAAGGTATACTTGGTGACTTTTCACTGAATAGTTAATTTTGTCAGACAAAAATAATATTTAAAAATGATTAAACTTTACTGTTTCATCAAATCTACCCCCAACGTATCAGCATTTATTTGTATGCATATTATTTAGTAATGACTAATTAATTAATCTATATATATAATAATAATAATAATAATAATAATAATAATAATATCTATAATATGCTTTAATAGTTTAACCACAATTGTATAGGTATTAATGGATCATAATATAATATATTATATAAACACATTATGTTGTCCACATACACTAAAGCAGTGGTCGTAACCACCTCGACTATTCCATACAGCCATAATTTTTTAAAATAAGACTAAACAATTTTATTTTTTGTACGACAAGGTCCTCGAATTGTTTTGAATATATAAATGCAGCCCCTTATTCCATAAATGTTGTCGACTATTGCACTAAAGCATAAATCAGTTAGATGCCAAATCAAAACAACCTTTTAATAGATATCTACAATTAATAATATTCATCTAATTACTGTGTTTTTAGATATTTTAAAGATATGAAGACAGTTTCTGAAATACCAATATTAGTCAACATAGAATTTTGTTCATTTTATGTTTGCTTAACTTGTTGTTACGTGATTCAAGCCATGCAGGTGTGTGATAGTAATATATTTGATTAATTTGATTAATATATAAAATATATATTTTATGTGGTTACCAACTAAACATTTTCAACAATTTTATATGTTATAATACATTTCGTAAAAATGTCTATCCTGTTGAATATGCAGTGCAAATATAAACTTTCTACTTAATTCTTATAACAAAAATATAAATATTATTTTACATAAAAAACAAAAATTAATTTAGTTTTAAAAGAATATAATACTGCATTTCTTTTAACATATTATGTATTATGTATGAGTGGTATGACAGTATAATAAGTAATTAATTATACCTGTATTATTTTCAGGGTTTTATCAATCAAATGATATTGGGAATTATAATACATACTAGTATAGCGGGTATTACGACAATTACTATTTATTGTATTTATGCAAGTAATATGTATGATTTAGTAAGTATTTATATAATTTGTCCAATATTATTAAAATAAAAATATATACACTTAATACATATGTGACTGTGAATATGTGTTTAATTAATAGTATTATCATAGCATGATATTTCAATTAGTAAACGCTCATTTTCGCGAAAACTTCTAATGTTTTTGGAAATATTTTTTATTTAGAAAATTTAAATTAATAAACAAAACATACATTATGAAAAATATGTTTTTTACAATATTTCATCGCTATAAAACATAAAACTATGGAAGATAACTTCAATATATTTAAAACAAATATTAGTACCTATATATACATTACATACGTCAATAATTTTCCATTTAATGACTGTTTTCTATGTAGGACCAACCTATGTATATTATGTATTTATAATTATTTTAACTTCTTAGCACAATGGTATATTGAACGCTCTTTTTGAACATCGATCATGTTATTCTCGAAATAAATCATTTACACAACTTATTTTACTGATGAAGACAAAAGCAACAATCCTATTAGAATTTAAAGCTGGTTTCATTTTTACCTTAAACTTAAACTTACTTGTCAAGGTAAGCAACGTATAAATGTTTATTTATTATAATCAACGTTTATAAATATATTATGTAGTTACAATTTTTTTGTAAGTGGTACTTAAAATTTATGGGTTGCTGTTTTTTAGAAAACATAAATTATTAAAAATTTATAATAGGCATATATTTGTATTTATTTCAGATTTTTCGATTTGCTTACACGGTTTTTAATGTTTTATTAACTTCAACCAATCGCCAATTTAAAGAATCTGCAATATGAAATTAAAGTTTTTCATTATAACTGATTAGTGAATATAAGATATAGTAAAAACATTTTTATTTATAATTATAAAATGTGGTTTTCAAATAAAATTGTATTCGTATATTAAGTACAAATTGTTGTTCGTAATTTTGTTTATTTCAGATCTTAAAATGGCTCACATATTATGCTGTGCATAATAACACAGTACTACAACCATTTTTCAATGAAATGTCAACACGCTCATCAAGCAAAATAATGCAGTATTTGAACCTTCTTTAAATTGCAAACTTTTTTGTCAACTATTTTTCCTAGTTCTTACACAAACAATTATAAGTGCCCAATAGTGATAGTTATTACATTAAACCAGAATACAATTTTAAATCGTGTACAATTATATAAATATGAATTGACATTAATTATAATATAATAATAAATGTTACTGAGTAATCTTTACACTTTTACAGTACTTCTTATAGATTTTATAAAAGATAAATTCAAATTTTTTTAAGGATAACCAACTAAAATTGGAATTACCTAATACAAAAAAAAAATATATATATAAATATTGTTTCTTACAATTATGAAAACATTTTATACTAAAATGTATGTTAATTATATGTATTATGATGATTTTATTTTAGGTATTTTTACTTATAATATTATACAAAATCAATCATAATATAATATTGAGTTGTACAATTTATGAAAGTGAAATAATAATTTATTTTTTTAACTTGTAGGAACTCACAAACCCATCGCTTTTCGTCTCATGGGAACTTACACATCTCACTTTTATATTTTCACTACTAATTTATTTATTTGATTTATCTGAATTTAAAAATATAATAAATTTAAATATCAATATTTTGAAAATTCGATGAAATTAATTAGATTTTTAACATTCCTCAAAACATTTATAAATTATATAATAAAATATTACAAATGATTTACAAATTCTACATTGCATTAGATCATTATCAAAAACTTTTTTTAGGTATTTATTTTTTCTGTAGATGGAAAAATAAAACTCTACCTACATAAATTATTTAAAAATGACCAAAAAAAAGTTGTATAAATTAGAATTAAAAAATGAAAAGTATACTTGGGGTTGACACATAATTTATATATACATATAATATATAGGAAATAGGTTGACGTATATCATAACTAGGTATTATATATTTATTATCGAATTTATGTAATATTACATTTAGGTATGCAATATAATTAATATTAGAACACTGTTAATACCTGATCTCTGTAAGCAATGCTTGTGGAGGGATTAGGGAGTCTTATAAATTGTAACTAATTAACATGATACAAACATTCTTTATAAAAAAAGAATAACATTACACTAATGGAACAATACAATTTAAATTAGAAAATGTATATTATAGTGAGAGTAAAAAATATACTTAAAAAAAACATACAAAAAGAAATGAAGGACTACTAATGAAATAATTGTGAATACCATTTTTTAAATATCTATCTTAAATTTTCGGTTATTATTTATTATTTTGATATTATTTGGAAGTTCATAAAATAGTTTTATTCCCCTATTCACCAACATAAAACATTTTAATCATAATTGTGTTGGGCTTAAATAATATTAGATTGCCGTTAATCATATTTCGAGTGATAATAAACCTATTTTTACGATGTAATATAATTTGAATTTTCAACATGTATATTTTAGTTGTTGATACTTTATTATGTAATTGTTGTATGTTTAATATCCTAAGTTTCTTATACAGATCATTGGTACAATTACCCTCAATATAATCTTGCCTTAATAGTGTTCTATGCACTACATTTAATGGCTCGAGAACATTGCTGTACGCAGATCCCCATATTATAATTCCATATGTCAATATTGATTGTACTCTAGCAAAACAAATAATTATAATTTTAATATTATTGATATCCTGTATAATATTACTTAATTCTTTAAAAATATAAAAGCATTTTCTAATGCTTGTTATTACTGATTCGATGTAAATTTTCTATTTTAATTAGTCATCGAATATAACTCTCAAATATTTTGTTGATTTTACTATATTTAATTCTTCTTCTTCTTCTTTATTTCTATATATTTGATTGTTTTAAGTAATGATGAAATATTTACTTACGTTATTATAATTTAAATTGTCTATAAACACTATCCAGATAACACCACTAATACAGTGTTTGACATTATAAATGTATAATATATCAACTACACTGTAATAGCAGTGTAGTCTGCACTATAGTTTGAATTTTCGGAATTGTTTCTCGGATATTATTATTTTGGGTACATTAACAAAATATTTTTACAGAAGTGCTTATGTACAATGTAATATGTATATCTACACAATATATAGGTTTGGTAAAATGAGGTGGATTATAATGAATAATATATAATATTCAACATAGTATAATATATTAAGTACAGGATGCATGTTTATATTTATATAGGTAGTTATCAAGTAAAATTTTTAAAACTTTTGGAATTTAAAAACTAAAATATTTTACAATAGGTATTCAATATTCATACATACATTTTAATTTAAAATGGTTTCATAATATTTTATATTAAAAAAATTATTAAATTATTACTTATACGTAGGTAGCTATATATAGTATAAAAACAATTTTATTTGAAATATAAAATTAAAATATTAAGTGTTCATATTGTGTAAATGTGTAACTGTTGGCACTCCTAAAAAATAATAAATTGTAACGATTATAGTTAGTGTATTAAAATGTGGGTTTTCATTATACAAAAATTATTACATTATGTATTTATGTAAGATACTATATATAATTTATACATACCAGGTACATATATGCAACAACTATTATAACTATACCAACATATTATAAAATATATTTTATTGTTTAATACACTTTTTAGCAGCAAGTTAAATTAAAAATATTTAGAGGTCATAAAGAGTTGACCCTACGGCAAAGATAGAAAACAATATTTGTATGTGATTTCAGGATTGTTTATTTGTTAATACCTAGTATAATTTGATCATAACGAATTATCTTATTAATATTATTATAATTAATGTTATAGTTACAAGTATATGGTACATATATGCATGAAATATTATTGATTGATAATTACATTATATTATTAATTAAATATTATGGATGAAAATAAGAACTTGAAATTTAAATGCTACAAATATTTCCAAAGGATTTTCTCCCGAAGTGAATAAACTGATCCAGCTTTTAGACTGACATATAATATAGTTTACCTAACACAAGTACCTATACAGGAAGTTAAGAAGCTGTTATAAATAACCAATAATGGTTCTTTGCGATTAAACATTTTCGAACCACTAAACCACGAGATACGTGTTACCTATATATGTACCCCTAGGACTTATAATCTGAGTCTCGATTGGTAACCCGCGATTTCGTGAGTGAAATAATTTTGAAGAAAGCGCAGGCGGTAATCATTGAATTATGTAGTAGTTATAACAACACAGACTCGTTAGAAATGGATTATACCTATGTGTACATGGTTGTAGTACTGTAGTTATTTGTAATTTTTTCCATATTTTATATAATTGCAGATATATATATGTTTATCCGGCAAGTATTTATTAATTTTAAGTGGTTTGGTATAATGTAGTTTTTGTTACACTCTCCAGTTTCCTAATAGTAAATGTTCATTTGACATTCTATACATATATACAAGGCTTGTTGAAATTAATTTGTAATGTTTGAATTTTTGAAACTTTGATAGGAATAGGTACTTATTTTATATTAAATACTACTTTTTGGACCTCTCAAAAACATTTAGTACAGGGGCCAAAAATGTTATAAGGGATATACATATACTATATATATATTATATAGTACAGTTTGACCTTGTATGATGCAAAGTTATATTAATAAAATAAGTTGTGGAGTTCTTGGACAGTTCTTTTCCAGAATAATAGGTATTAGGTAGGTATTTAGGTATATACCTATAGGTATAATATACGAAACAGCAGCTCTTTACCTACTGACTGAATAACAAAGTATATTTTTGAAAATTACGTTTCCAATATATATATAATTATTATACTGTGATATAGACACGATGACCATAATATATATATATGCATATTTTCATTCAGCAAGGTTTATTGCATAATATTTTCGTCCTATTTTATTGGTAAAAGTATATTTTAATTGAATAGTGAATTTATTGGTAACCTGAAAGAATTACAAATAGGAAACTGCAGTTGTCCCTGGCTACCAATGGAAGAGTGATAACTTTAGGTCAATCGATCACTGTTGGGAAATAATATTATTAAAGCCTATGACACTCCACGAGAAAACTAAATAATGAATAATAATCGTTACAACGGCAACCAGAAAAAAAATTTAATCTACGAATCTTAAGGACACAATGTATGTGTGCTCCACCCTTTTAAGAAAAAAAAAAGTAGCTTAGGACGATATTCCTGAGTTTCAACGTATCTACTGCAGTCGTTTTCAAGCCTAAAAAAGAAAAAAATGTACATAGTATGGTTCATTGAATCACATTATAAAATTATATAGGTAGATTGCAAACACATTTTGGAAAATCACTGGTGTTTTCCAAGGTCAACTTCAATATACGATTATACCTATAGAACACTTCAATGCGTATTTTGGAGCAAAATATTCCTTAAGATACGATAGTAGTCCATATAGTAGTCTAACGTACCAACTGTCTTGAGTCTTACTTAAATAAAAATGTTGAAAACAAAATTAAATTTAATATGAATTCTATTTTAAATAATTTAATTGAGAAATACAAAAAAAAAAAAAACATTTTAAACTTGTATCTTTTCCAATTGGAATTTATAAAAATACGAGATTTTTTCTTGATTTCAAACGATAATTTTGAGAATAATAAATTAAACATGTGATTCAAAGATCCCACTTAACAATAAAATAAAATCTGTTTTCATAATTGTTATCGGTGTACAACTCATGTCGGTAAATGTTGAAACTTGTTTAGATCTACGATTTACAATATATTTTCGTCACGAAAT